CCATCAACTCTACGCAAAACTACCAGACATGTCAATCACAAGCTACTTTTAAACGCCCATGAAAGGGAAATCCAGATGTGCCCTAATTATAGTCATTTCAAAAGCATCAGCAGTCTTCACTCTCCACAGACCTTCAGAAACAGACATCATTCTCCATGACTAGACATCAATTCTCGCTTTTAACAAGCTGAATTAAAGCCATTCTGGCTGAAGACATTCATGGGATCAGTCCAGACGGTCAGGTCAACATTCAATGCTGTGTTCCCATCAAAATTAAGTTTCCTGAAAGATCACATCAAACGCCTCTCCGACATGTCCCAAAGCACATTTATTCAATTACAACACAGTATATTAACACCTATAAACAATAGGCAAAATAAATAAGTAAATAATTAAAGCCGTTTTCTGATGCTACACTCAGGTTAGAACAGACCCAATTTGTTTCCTCTAATTGAGTTCAGAGCAGTCAGTTTGATTAACATTAGTACCTTGTTATTGCTTGGCTAGACAAGACACGATGTGTTTATGTGATCTTTAACACTTGAAAACTAGATTGGAACATACACACACTCATTAGGCTATAAATTAGTTGTACGATGATCTTCCACTTCTGTGTGAAACATAAACTTTAAAAAGCTCAGATGTCAATGTGAAAGTAAACGCGATCTTTAAAAACATGTTAAAATTGATTTCTTGTCTTGTTACAGTGTTTGAATAATGGTAGCTTCATGGGGCTGTTTTTGACAACTCTGAGAAAGAGCTTTGATTGATTTAAGAACAACCTTACTGCCACCATTTAGTTCAGCCTCATCAGTGGTAGCAGGAATGAAAAACTCCAGGCGAGCTACGAATCCACCTTTATTCGTCAGAGAAAATAGATAGGTCATTTTTCTCCCAAATGAAATAGACAACAAGATTCAGACTGAGACACACAGAGAGAGAAAGTCAACTGTTGAGTTAACCCTGTACAGATATCCGTTTGATGAAGTGTAAAGTGCCTTTAAGGTTGGTGGATCCAACATCATTATGAGGAGAGGGCCAGGTTTGCTCAGACCTCCAGAGCTTTAATGAGTCTTTCTTTGCTAATAAATTCTGAATGAGCTTGACTACAACTCCAGAACCTCTTGCTACTAAAACACAATCCTGTAGAACACATAGAGACTCACAGAGCACTGTCGCAGACATGAAGCTATTTGTTTCTTGTATGTTTACAAGGGTTAGTGGCATGGCAACCCCCCCTCAGATCTTTTAATTTAGTCAAAAATACACTCAAAATTCAATTCATACATTATGAGCATGTGAACTACTTTGGCTTAATCTTTTAATTATTATATATTATTAAATAAAATTAACAGTGCTTCACTTCTCATTAGACAAAGTCATGCAAAGTCAGCAACATATAGAAATATGTAGAACAAAGAGCATAAATCAGGAAATGATATCATAGAGAAGACCTCTGCAGACCCTCATGACTGTGTTTAAGTCATTAAGTCTTTAAAAATATCAGATAATTTGACCTTTTCATGACAAGGTAAGGACAGGTCAGGTTGTAATATAATGTAGTGTGACTCCTCTCAAAGTAATGATATTCATGTATAAATAAAGATTTTATGTATAAATGTAAAACAATTACGATAAAATGATAAATAAATAAAAATGAATTATTATGATAAAAAGATAGTTCACGCAAATAATTAAAATTCTGTCGTTATTTACTCACTTTCATGTGGCTCCAAACCTGTATGACTTTCTGTTTTCTGTGTAACATAAAAAAGAATATATTTTGAGATATGTGCCGATGTTTTTTTGTCCATACAATGGAAGGCAATAGCAACCAAAACTGTTTTATTTAAAGTTTTCTTGAAAATCGTTAAAGTGACACTCTCCTGTGGGAAGGACCGTAGAATTTTGTAAATGATGAGCAGTTCTTTGGAAATCTGCAGAGCTTTCTATTGCCACAGATCCAGTGTGAGCCTGGTCATAACTACATATTGGCTTCTTCAGCATGTCTGCACTTGCAACATAATAGGTGAATCTTCCTCTTGCCCTCATGTTCTTCTATAATAATGATTTCATCCGAAAGACCATCTAAATGCTCTATCTGCTTTTTGGGGACATGTATCATCCCTTTATCACTTCTTTCTTACTATGGCGAGTTATGTGTGTTTTTTGTGTATGAACATTTGCTTGAAAACATGTGAGAATATGTATGTAGACGTGTGTAAGTGCTGGTGTATGAGTATTATGGGCTTTTCTAATGTAGCTCTGATGACAAGGGGGTGTGGATTCTGAATGGCTGCGGTTGGCAAGGTCACCATGTCAGATTGGGTTCTATAATGTTTCCATCATCATAATAAATCCTCAAGGTTACAGAGTGTTGATCTTGATCACAAGGGAGAGCAGGGGTGGAATACATTCAGAGTACCAATATGCCACTCAGATCAGAATTATGCAACCATCTACATTCCCTATGTTAACTGATGTCCTTGAGCACTCTACTCCCCAAAAAATATGCTTCTGAATGACATGTCCGCACATGGATCCTCAGGATAGAGTTGGTGACATGGAAAGACTGTTTTTAGGAATCTTGTTGTGAAACTGCATGGGTCCATTAAAAAACCAATCAAAATAAAACAAACAGCAGCTCTAATGAAACAGCTGACAACTCTAGTGACAGTGGGGAAAAATGTGCTCGTTATTATCTAGGCAAGGAGAAATGAGACAAAGGTAGTGCTTTTACCCCAGATTACATTTCAGGATGTGTCCTAATAACTAAAATTATACAAAAGCACAGATAAAATAGGGCCATAAAAATGAACTTAATTGTTCCCTGTTGAACAATAGTAACCTAACAATTATTATTATTATTATTGTTGTTGTTGTCGTAACCTAACCTACAATAGTAGGTTTAAATTGGTCAGTAAGATTTTTGAAGGTTAGATTTATTTGATCAAAATACAGAGAAAAAAACAAAAACAAAACAAACAACCACATCAATATTGTGAAATATTATTACAATTTAAAATGTTATTTTATAAAACTTTTTTATTTCATTACTGTAAAACGTCTCAGGTTACTTATGTAACCATGGTTCCCTGAGTAGGGAACGAGACACTGTGTCCTCTAGGG